AGAGAAGAAAAGAACTGGCCGAGCTAACGAATGCACGTGAAACAACATACCGAGAAGTAGCCAAACTCGTAAAAGTGAAAGCAGAGGCCGAAGCAGCCACACAAGCAGCAAAGTCAGAACGTGCCCTACTAGAAAAGGAAAGAAACACCACAAATAAGGCAATCAGCAGAGCTGACAAACATACCTGCACTGACAAACTGATAACAACCAAGCACCAGGCACAGATGACTGAAGCGCCAGAATACATAAACCAAGGCACAGAAACTATCAGCTCGGAACCAGAATACGAATCTGAACAAGAAACCGACCAGATATATTCCGATGAAGATACAGAAACAGTAGACCAAGACGAAGAACCCGAGAGCATTGAATACATACAAAGAGAGACTCAAAAACTCCTAGAAACCACCAGGGAAGAGAGACGACAACTGGATGAAAAAATCCAAGAAAACAAAGACCTACTGGCACAGCTATCAGAGACATGGGACAAGCTCAAACTCTACCAAGTCGAAGATGCCACAGAGAGTACAGGCGCAAAATCCTGGGTATTCGAGAAAACCAAAGCACAGATGGATGCAGAAAGAGCACAGTGGCGAACACCCAAAGGCAAGAGAGGTAGACGAGGCAACACCCACTACTAAACCCAACCGCACCAGACCGCCATCTTTGTGGAACTAGCGAAGCCCACCAACACACAGCGAGCCAGCCAAACCAGTACCTCAGCAGTCCCGCCCATTTCCCCACACAATGGCCTACCCCGGCTACGTAACCGTTCTTTTCAGAGCGGTTACTCCCCTCCCTGCCATGCCAATCGACATCCTTCCGCCCGAACCACGCCAGATTGAAGCCCAAGGTGAAGCAAACAAGGAATACAGCAACAAAAACTGAAACGCAGATGTGGCAACACATCACACAAAAGGACAACGAATAAACCACAAAGAAACACGGCCGACCAGAAAAACCACCGCTCAGACAGGAGCCGGTTAAGCGTCGCCGCACTTTGACATTTTTGTTCATTTTCTCAAGATCAAGACAGCCAAGTCGCACACAGCTCTCTCTCGCTCGCTCGATACCGCCCGATAAAGCCACGTGTGTCTCTCGTCAGCTTGCCAACTATCCATTCGTAGCCAGATTATCAATAGCTAGATACTGGTCAGAACTCGCTTGACATTCGGCTGAGTTTTGGCTCGACTAGACTATTGTTATTCGTCTGCGGGTGGGTTATTGGCGGCCCGGGAGCACATCATTGTTGTAGAGCCAGTCAGACCAGCCAGTCTATTTTTAACGATTGCTAGAGAACTAAGGAGAAAGCACGCTTGGGTGTCCTTTTTAGGATACTCTAACAAGCCTTGCCGACTCCGAAGGGACCTAGCTTTCGCCACAGATCGCAATTGCCACCATGGTTTTTCCTATCATGGGAAAACAACAAACAGCCGCACCTACACCAAGGAAGAGGAGAGCCGTACCAGCAGCTTCACCAGCAGGCGCCCCTATCGCGGCGCCTCGCACACCTACGCCAACAACTGAAGCCGCCCCCATCGTGGCGCCAACACCAGAAGCCGCCCCTATCGAGGCGCCGACACCTGAAGCCTCCCCTATCGTGGAGCCACAACCTAAAGCCGCCCCAGTCGTGGCGCAGGGACCAACAAGCAACCGCTTACCTAAGCAGCAGCCTGGAGCCCACACCACAGACATTATGCAGTGCTCACGCTGCAACAGGGCGTGGCACACCGCCGCAACCTGTCGCAGTGGCCCTATTTGTCGGTACTGCTCGGGAGCCCACGACTTCAAGGAGTGCCCGCTAGCGAAACTCGATAGCGACTTCAAAAAGCCTAACAAGAAGCGGAAAATGCAGCAACTGCTCAGGTTCACACAGTGCGAGGTACCTGGGGTGCCCATACCTCAAGAAGTGCAGGAGAGAAATGATAGCCGCCTCATCCAGAGATACGTGCCAGGCGCCCAGACAGCCGGAGGCAAGACCACCAAGTAACATACAAAGAGACAAACGAAACGATCAGGCACGCTCCGCCACCATTCAAAACGAGATACCACAAATAATCGACGAACTGAGAAGCCAAATCACAGCGCTCCAGAAAGAAAGAACCACCGCCGCCGCTGAAAGAACGGAGACCCTGGAACTGATTTCCCTATTGCTAGGAGAGAGATCAAGGACCTAAAGGCAGAAAGGCTGGCATACGCTACCCAGCAAACAAACAGACAGTCAGAAGACGCAGAAAACATTCAAAAAACCAGAGAGCTACTCACCAGCCTCAGAGCAACCCAAGCAGAAGAAGAAATGCGCGCCAGTCAGAGAGAGAGGAGAGAAGGAAGGAGCTGGCCGAGATTACAAACGCACGGGAAGCCGCATGCCACGAAGCCGCCAAACTAGAGAAAGCCACCGCAGAAGCCATAACAGCAGCACAAGCAGCTAAGACAGAAAGAGCCCTGCTGGAGAAAGAAAGAAATGCCACAAAAAAGCCGACCACCAACAAGGCCGACAAAAGCGTCTCCACTGACAACCTGACAACGAAGCATCAGGCGCAAATGACCGAACCAGAACAGGATGAAACCGACAAAGAAGACTCTGAAGAGATCCCAGTCATCACAGGCACCGAACAGTCAGATGGAGAGATCATATCCGATGAAGAATACACACAAACAGAGCAGGAGCTTCCGACTGCCAGCAGTGCATCGCCCGAAAAACCCACCCGAAACGTCATCGACATGGAACAGGTCATAAGAGACATGGAAGATCACTACGCACTAGAGACCAGCCAAGTATGGAACGCAGAACAGCAAAAATGGGTCTCACCAAGTACCATTGCCAACCAGAGAAACAACCGAGGAAGGCGACGACGACGCTACTAACGTAGCAGAAGCCAAAAAACCGAGCCGCCATCTTTCTGGAAAAACCATCCCACCAACTGAACGACGCCAGTACGCCACCAGAACCTGACAAGCAGAAGCCAGACCCCGCCCATCCCGTTCCAGGCCACCCGGCACAGGTGGCTGTCCTTCTCAGGACAGCCACGTCCACTCCCTAAACCTACAAGCCGCGCGCCAAGCCCACGCTGCTAACAATTCGCAACAAATGAAAGGAAACTCAGGCGAAAATGATCGCCGCAAGGAATAAATACAAATCACACCACCATTGAACCGACTTCGATATAGCAAGCCGTCAGGCAGCTGAAAGAGGTCACAATCTTGGAATTTTTGTTTCTTACGAATTGAATTGAATTGAATTACATCTCAAATTATCTGCCTGGCGGTTTCTCCGTTCAGTCTGGATTCTTTCTTTTGTCAAAATCTGCTAGTGCCGCTAGGCGTCGCAGTCTATCAGATGATCGGCAACAGAGCCAGGGCGCGCTCAGTCGCTTCATATGCCGTGATGTTATGAAGTCTCAAGTTGTCCGTGACTCCTTCAATCCATATTCTTCTTGGTCTTCCCCTGCCTCTTGGTGTTTCGATTTTCATGTTGTATGCTCTTGATGCTGGCATCGTTGGTTCCATTCTCATTAGGTGACCAAACCATTTCATTCTTTGCTTCTCAATAAATTTAACGATGGGTATGGTTCCAATAGTTCTTGTAATCACATCGTTTCTCACTCGATCTCTTCTAGTTTTATTCGCAGCCATTCTCAAACATCTCATTTCACAGGTGGTTAGTCTTCTCTCGTGTTCTTTTGTTAATGTCCAAGTCTGACATTGATAACCTAACGTCGGTATAAAGATTGTATTTATAATTTGTCTTTTTATCTCAGCTGGGACAGCAGGGTGTTTTAAAATTGGGGCAAGCTGGTATGCAACATTGTTGGCTTGTTGGATTCTTGCTTCGATCTCTCTGTCTATTTTACCATTGAATGTAAAGATACTTCCCAAGTATTTAAATTCTTGCACTTGTTTTAGGCTGTGATCTATAATCTTTATGTCGATGGTCTGTTGCTCTCTACTTATGCTCATGACTTCTGTCTTTTCAGTATTGATCTTCTTATGATCAGTCCGGATTACCGACGTAAATATCCTTCGGGTAGTCGGGCGGCCAGGCTGGGTATTTGGGAGACCGACCAGGAAAAAAAATGCACTAAAGATTATTGCATTTTACCAGAACTTAATCATCTCAGTGACTGATTATTGATCGGGGTTACACACTGTCTCGAAGAGTCAGCTAGTCAAACTGGAGCGCACACAGAAGCAAGCTATTCGGCTGATTCAGAGTTGTACAAGAAAACACCCCGATTGTGTGCATGCGATGCATCCTTGCATTGCCGACTATTGCAGATAGGCTAAAAGTGCTGCAGGCTAAGTCAGTGTAGCTGCAGACAGGAACACCCTTTGTATGGAGCTTTGGCTGCAGGCAAGGGTCAGAGGCTGCAAAGGGGTCTTAATGCTCTGGTTAAAACAGTCGGCCATCTCTGCCAGGTCTACGTCGCTCAAAGCCTTCATGTGACCATGCCTGACTCCATCAGGCCCTGGTGCAGTGTCTTTTGCTTTTTAAAAAAAAAAAATTTGTTATCTTTTACTTGTAATGATTAAAATCTAACAAATAGTTTATCATCATCAGTTCTCGTTATGCCTAGTGGCACATGAGGCTTCAGAGAGGACTTTCCATGCTTTCCTGTCCAGTGCAATCTTCAGTGCAGTTTTCCATGTCAAAGATGCCGCACTCCATGCTGACAGAGGGACTCTGTCCCAAGACCACCGGACGCCTAGAGCACTTATTAGCTCTTGAAGTTTCAGTAACGTTGTAGATTTTTTACAGGGCAGAGCTGTTAACACTGCGCCCAACCCCCGAGCCTGGAGGACCGGGAGGCCATCTTTAGTCTGGCCCCTCACCAATGACCTGTCCGGCTTGGGTGACCCTGCCAGTAACATACGTTCCCGCCGGCATAGCTCACTAGATCATTGAGGCTCTCAAGCTCCCCCACCACTACAAGGTCATGGCCTCTGGGGGGAGTATCAATCAGTTGATGCATGGTAATTATTTGTCGCTTGTTTTGTAGCTTGGTCTGCGGGATCACTATTTTTGCCGCGGTGTTCTCCACACTGATCGCCTCAAGACCGCACTACACGCAGTCTGATATTGTCAATGTCATGAAAGACAGTGGGCCTGGCAGTACTGGACTGACTTTCATATGGTAATGTATTTGTTTCTGGATGCATCATTTGCTTCTTTTTCTTTTCCTCCTCCTCCTCCTTCTTCTTATTCTTCTTCTCTACTACTACTACTACTACTACTACTACTACTACTACTACTACTACTACTACTACTACTACTACTACTACTACTACTTTCTCTTCTTCCAGTCTTCATCTTTGTCATCTCCAAAATCATTCTCATCCTTCCTGTTCCAATAACTCGATAAGAATTAGATCAGGAGACTATCGTAGAATATCGTCCAGAAAATTCAGGTGTATAAGGTAACAAGCAGCTGATAGATTAGCTGCTGCTACTCCTGGAAAGGGGGGGGGGGGTATTCTTTCATTGCTGAGGATTGAATCCAAATTCGCTACATTAGCAGGCAAGCGCACAATACACTAAGCCACGTTATCTCTGAAAAAGAAATGATCATGGTGAAGAGTAACAGTTGACACAATAACCGAAGTTCAGAGATCTCACGTGAAGCTAAGGGAGACGGAGTTATTAGGGTTTCGCTCGTAGTTATACGATGATTATGTTGTATTAAACAGTAGACTTAAAGGGCCCACAGTACTGCAGTTATTCTGTCTTGCAAATATCCTAATGGATAATCCAGGATTCTATTTGCTTCCCATTTCTTCACCTTGCTCATGTTCCAACAGTTCTTGTGATCACGTCGTTTCTCACTCAATCTCTTCTGGTTTTATTCACAGCCATACTCAAACATCTTATCTCACAGGTGGACTGAGCGTTCTTTTGTCAATGTCCAAGTTTAAACTGGTAACCTAAAGTCGGTATAGATATTGTGTTTATAATGTGTCTTTTTGTCTCTATTGGGATAGACGGGTGTTTTAAAATTGGAGCAAGTTGATACGTGACATTGTTGGCATGTTGGATTCTCGTTTCTATCTCTCTGTCTAGTTTCCAACTGTGTGTAAAGATGCTTCTCAAGTATTGAAATGCTTACACTTGTTCCAGACCTTGGTATTTGATCTTTGTGTCGATGGTTTGTTGCTCTCTACTTATTCTATTGTCTTATGTTTTTTCCCCCTCTTTATTGATCTTTATGTTATGTTTGAGGCAACTGTCGTGTAGCTGGTTTGTGTGGTCCTGCAGCTGTTTACTTTCACTGTGGAATTTGCACTGATCGTTGGTAAAGAGTAGCTCATTGAGGTCCTCTTGTTTATCGACATGTGGTGGTGTAATATCTATGTTGTAAGTATCGTCCATGAATATTATAACAAGTAAAGGTGAAAAATCACACCCTTGCTTACACTTAAAGTTACTGGAAACCAGTCTGTGAGGCCAGCTCTTGTTCTGATAACTCTCTCACTTTCTCTTTAAATAGCTCTTACTCAATCTATTTATACCATAGTTTTCAAGGACATCCCATGGTAAATCTCTGTTCACTCTATCAAAAGCCTTTTCTTTATCTATTAAAGCGATGTTCATTTGATGTCGTTGTTGAAAAGAGAATTACTGAAAAAATTTATTTAAAAAAAAAAAGACCATTGAAATACTTTGGCTGCATTAAAAGACATAATATGCATTTAAAAACCGTTGGGGGGGGGGCCGAGGGGGGGTCAAGAACTAGAGGTTGACAACGATACGCCACAACATTACCTCTTCCCTATGGTCCTTATCAGCTAAAGAGGAAGAGGCTGATCAATGATAATCTTTATGCAAACAATGTGGGGTTTGCATTGCAAGCCCAGGGCGCCACAAGAAGTGGATAGGTTCTTCACTTTGTTTTGTTTTTACTTCCCCTTGCTTTTTGTTTATTTAACAAGTAATTCAGAACATAAATAATTTAGCCCAACTGTTTGCAGGTTGCCAGTGTTATTTCAGACTGTAGGAACATTCGGCAGAGTTCTGGCTGCACTGTTCTTCTTGTGCCTATCATTCGCTGGCTTGACTTCTCTCATTTCTAACGTTGAACTCTTCACACAAACTGTGGGCGACTTCGGACGTAAGTAGTGCCAATGTGTGTGTGAGCACATGCATAAGTAGTACCAGTATGTGTGTGTTTGAGCACATGCATAAGTAGTGCCAATATGTATGTGAGCACATGCATAAATATTACCATTTTTTGTGTGTGTGAGCACATGCATAAGTAGTGCTAATAAGTGTGTGAGCACATGCATAAGTAGTACCAATATGTGTGTGTGTGAGCACATGCATAAGTAGTACCAATATGTGTGTGGGCACATGCATAATTAGTACCAATATGTGTGTGTGAGCACATGCATAAGTAGTGCCAATATATGTGTGTGTGAGCACATGCATAAGTAGTGCCAATATATGTGTGTGTGTGAGCACATGCATAAGTAGTACCAATATGTGTGTGTGTGTGAGCACATGCATAAGTAGTACCAATATGTGTGTGTGAGCACATGCATAAGTAGTACCAATATGTGTGTGTGTGAGCACATGCATAAGTAGTGCCAATATGTGTGTGAGCACATGCATAAGTAGTGCCAATATGTTTGTGTGTGTGTGTGTAAGCACATGCATAAGTAGTACCAATATGTGTGTGTGTGAGCACATGCATAAGTAGTACCAATATGTGTGTGTGTGAGCACATGCATAAGTAGTGTCAATATGTGTGTGTGTGTGTGTGAGCACATGCATAAGTAGTGCCAATATGTGTGTGAGCACATGCGTAATTATTATGTGTGTGTGAGCAAATGCGTAAGCAGTACTGATGTGTGTGTGTGAGAGAACAAATGTGCAGGTACTACCAATGTGTGTGTGTGAGCAAATGCGTAAGTAGTACCAATATATGCGTGTGTATGTGTATGTGAGCAAAAGCATGAATAGTACCAATGTGTGTGTGTGTGAGAGAAATCTACAATCAGGTAAAGTCCTCGGAAGTAAAAGCGGCTTGTGTGATGTTTACCATATCACCCACCAAATGTCGATTGGTCTATAAAATATAGGTATAGGGTTAAATGCTCAAGACGCTAGAAGGCGAGGGGAAAAGGGTCTTTTGCTTTTATGTTAAAAACAACAGACACCAGACAAACGACGTGATGTTTATGTTTATTCAACGAATCAACATAATGGCACACGGGTGTATCCCATAAGCCCGAGTTTGAAGAATCTCAGCGCAGTGCACAAATTCTGTTGCACCTGCGAGGGTCCTAAAATACTTTGGATAGAATTTTTTTTACTAAAGAGTTTGCGCGGACAGCGCCGTTAGGCTACTCTTTTAGATTTCGAACTGCCAAGGGATTATTTACGTGCGCAACAATACGCACGAGCGTTCGATCTTCCTACGCAGAGACCAGGGGGAAATTACTAAAAGTCCATGTGAAAAAAAATCGCAGCCTCCCAGGGGCTTGAACCTGAGACCTCTAGCACTCGAGGCGGAGACCATACCTCGAGACCACGCAGGTCCCTTAATCAAAATAAAAAACTAGGTAAATGACAGTCTGAACAATGAACAGACGGACATAAGATGGGGCGAAAAAAAAACGTTATAGAATTATCACAATGCCATTACGTCCACAGTTGGCCGTCGCTACGCAATGCCGCTTTGTGTTACTCTCACTTTTACCATTGGCCTGATGTCTGCGTTGAACATTGATATACTCACCAACCAGGTACATGTATTTGTCTACTCACTGTCTTCTCACGACCGGCTGCAGCTGACAGGCCTTGCTACTGACGTCACCGGGTCGAGCTAACGATGAGTTAACGCAGCGGTTCTTAAACAAGAAATAAACTATTTTCGACAGTGGCGAGGGAAGACAACTTCATTTTTAATCTTTTAAGTATCTACATACCTTTCTTAATAATTTTACCATTTTTAGCCGACTTTGCTTGATTTTTTCCGCGGCAGCCCTGGCATAAGCTCAAGGCACTCCAGAGTGCCTCGGCACCCAGTTTGAGAACAGCTGCGTTAACCAATCTTTAGCCTGACCCAGTGACGTTAGCAGCACGGCACGTCAGCTGGAGCCGGTCGTGGTCTTATCGTAGCTACCTGTAATTTCCACTTTCGTAGTGTAGTCAGGGAGTCTTTTAAGCTGAAGATTGAAAACCGCATGGTAATAACTGTTTTGGGATTTTCGTTTTGCCCCAACAGAAAAACAAATATCCAGTTAAAAGCTAAACACTTCCTATCCCGATATACAGAAGTAAATTATGGACAGTTGATAAACGAGTGCACTCACAATGGAACACCTCAACAACATGTTCCCACAGGACAGCTGGACCAGAATCTACACGGATGGATCAGCAAAAGAGGCAACTACGAATGGTGGGGCAGGTGTTTACATAAAACACCCAGATGCCACTACTGTGTCCCTAGCAGCCCCCACCGGACGAACTTGCTCTAACTACAAGGCAGAACTCTCAGCCCTATTGATGGCAGCACAGTATATGAACAATCTGCAAATCACCGCAGGCAGGATAGTTTTTCTCACTGACTCACTGTCAGCTATACAGGCCTTTGAGTCCAAACCTACCGACAGCACACTACAAAGTCTAACACATGAACTTGCTATGTTGTCAAATAAGGCAGAAATTCACTTGCAGTGGATTCCGTCACACTGTGGCATCAAAGGCAATGAAAGCGCAGATGCTTTAGCCAAGGAAGGCAGTAACAAACCACAGACCTACCAGCCACTATCTTTTCCAGAAGTCAAAACTCTCATTAAGAGAAAATCAGAAACAGATTGGAAAACCAACACTGGTTATAACTACGAAAAAAGATTTTCTGAAACACTTGAACAGAACAGACCAAGTCACAGTTTTTCGCTTACGCACTGGACACTGCAGACTCAATAAACACTCACATAAATTAGGTATGAGCCAAACAGCTCTCTGCCGATGCCTTCGTGCTGAACAGACTCCAGAACATGTCCTGCAAGACTGTCCTCTCCTGGCTGAGCTGCGGAGCGACATATGGCAACACCCAGTTGAACTGACAACTAAGCTTTGGGGAAACCTAAGAGACCTTGAAAAGACATCCCAGTTTATAACCCACAGTGGATTATGCGCATGACCAGAGATCGCTGAAGAAGAAGATAAACGAGTGAAACTAATTATTTGGGAGCTGCCTATATGTTGTTTTAGAGAGGAGTTCCATGGAAGGAAAAAAAGTGTATCTTGATAGAAACTAACTCATGAAGAGAACTGATTGCCAATATTTTCTTTTCTTTATTTTTCTGCCTTTCTAGCCCCCAATGGGGCATAGGCCCTCAACTAACTCCCGCATGCAATTCTTCCCATGTCTTTCCCATCTTTCTAATTTCATTCTCCAGCTCCCTTTCCCGTGTGTTTTTAGGCCTTTCTTTACTCCCAGGTGCTAATTCTTGAAGTTTTCCTAGGTGAGAGGGGGTACTTCGACGATCTGGGCTCCTTTCGGCTTTCTCCACTCCGTGTCATACTTCTTCTACTTGAAGAGCCTCCCCTCGTCTTGGTTGGCTGGGTTTAGCTAGCTTTTCTTTTTGACTTACCCATGGTTGGCTGGTTTTTATGGCTATTGTTTTTAACCGAATGAGGTAGCCTACCTCAAGCCCAACCCCACCCTTAGTCGCCTCTTACGACATGCCTGGATTGCCCACATCAGAAAGAGACAGTCTACATTAGTTGGTCATGTCATGAGAAAAAGTGACAGTTGGAAAGTTGGAGGATAAGAACCGCAGACAGAGACCGAGTGAGAAGACCCTGGACAGTTTGGCATTATGGTATGTAGGATCATCGATATCATTTGTAGCCTCCTGCTAGAACCGGTGGTGGATGGGATAGACATGACTACCAGCGCACACGGTATGGACTTTAAGGAGAACTGATTTGTAACCAGACTTTATGGTCCATAACAAAATTTACTGATCTATTTTATGTACATTTCATTCTAATTTCGTTGTATTTTTTCCATCTGACATTTCCCACCGAAGGACTTTGTTTGGGGATTTGGACTTGTTGTCAACGGATTGATGTTCATTTCCATGGTTGTATATGTTGGCACGGCCAAATTTAGAGCTGTGTTGGTCAATGATTTTGGATTGGATGACTGGAAGCTCTCAAAAACCTGGGAATGGGTAATTAAGTAAGTTATACTGTTTGAAAAATACTAATTGTATTACTATTAATGTTTGAAACATAATTGTTGTATTTTTCGTCTTCATCTTTCGCTTTTAAAGGGACGATTGGTGCGTTGTGTTTTACAGATAGGCTGTAATGTGTGCGCTTCTCCACCAATGAAATCCGATTTCAGCAAACCCCTAATCAATTGCCTTTTACGACATTCTTGTTAGAGGATGTGGGTTTATTCCTCCCCCTTCCCAGTGTGGTTGCGGAACCCACACGTGGGGTATTATTATCAATAATACTTTAAACCTATTTGATTAGTGGAAAATAATTTTAAAGCAGCAGAGATGTGATTTTGTGGTCAAATGAATGAAAATGCAAGGAGCATATAAGTGTCACTAGTGGTGGGATAACTAATGTATTATATCAAAAGACTTGAGGCGAGTTGCGTCAAAAATGAATGTGATAGCACAGGGAGAACTTGGCATAAGCGCTCCGTTCCCATCGTCAGCAGCCAGTGCAGTGTTCCAGTACTGATGGTACCAGTAGCCGTTTGACTGCTAAGATAATTGTGTTGTGGATTTCAGATTTGTTGCTCCCATCGAGGCAGTGGCGCTGATCGTGTGGTGGGCTATCGATCTGATCAATGCTGAGTCCGCAGAAGGGGAGAAGTGGTACGACTTTGGCAGAGAGACTTTCATGGTCACTATTATACAGGTCAGTGTGTTTCTTACATTGATGTCCACGCAGGTCAGCTGACTCAGAATGAAAAGATGCTCTGTTTCTGTTGAATTAGTTAACACATTTTACACAACTCATAGAATTAGATCTCCGCGGCGGAAAGTTAAGAAAAAGACAAGGTATGCTATCCCTAGTCAATCATGCCTCAGAATATTATGAATTCAGATAACGACGTGAATGGGGATTCCATTGGAATCACCTCGTCCGGTAAGGAGCATCATGTTCTACTGGTGATACCCGACCGTCATCCAGCTACTGTAGAAAAAGTAAATGGTAGAAACTTCCTGAACATTGGTGCATGGAATGTCAGAACACTCGTACAAAACAGAAAGCTGGATAACATCAAGATGGAAATGAAGAAAAGGAACATAATCAAAATACTAGGAATTAGTGAAATGCGATGGCCCAGGAGCAGGGGAAAAGTATTCAGATCAGCAGAGAATTATTTACTCAGGTGGTAAGGAATATAGCAAGGGAGTTGGTATCATTTTGGATCCAAAAAAAACTCAAAAACTGTGAAAAGATTTTGGACAATATTAGATTGAGTACTATTAGTAAAACTTCACGGCAGACCGTTTGACATCAACTTAATACAGATTTATGCCCCAACAGCAGATAGTTCAGAGACAGATATTGAAAAATACTATTGATGAACGGTGGGATATGTTGCCTGAGTCAATTCAGCAGACATCAAAAGAAACAATCCCACCAGCCCATAGAGTTGCAAAAAACAAATGGATGTCAACCGATATTCTGCAGTTGATAGATGAAAGAAGGGAGAAAAAGAATGATAAAGAGGAATACTCTAGAATACAAAAAGATATAGTGAACAAATGCAAAGTGGCTAAAGAAGCCTGGCTGAATCAAATGTGTACAGAGATTGGGGGAAATCACAGGAAAGACTCACATTCCATGTACTAACAGATAAATATGTTAACAGGAAAGATGACACGTAACAGCACTGGATGTTTGAAATCAAAAGATGGTGACATATTATTGTGACATAGTAATTTAATTAGCAGCATATAGGGGAATTGTAGGATGATAATAGACTAGATGTAGAACTGCAGACCAACAATGATGGCCCACCAATAATGACTGCAGAAGTTGAGGATGCAATACATCATATGAAGAAAGGAAAAGCACCCGGGCCAGACAAAGTCTCACTGGAAGAGATCGAAGCACTGTGAGATTTTGGAACTGAAATAATAACTAAACTTTTAAATGATATTTATAATAGTGGGTATATTCCAAATGACCTTTTAAAATCCATATTTATAGCTCTGCCGAAGAAACCAGGCACTTTAAAACGTGAAGACCATCGCACAATAAGTCTTATAAGTCACATGACTAAGATTTTACTGAGAATAATTATGAGAAGAATAAGAAACAAAATTAAACCAGAAATCAGGGATGAAAAATGTGGATTTTTAGAAGGAAAAGGTACAAACAATGCCATATACATCCTAGAAAGTGGAAGAATGGGCCTCAGTTTGAATAATGGGAAGACAGAAGTAAAGGTGGTATCAAAGAAACGTTGTCTTTTACTGTTGTTGTCAGCGGCCGGTGCTATCGCATGTTCTAAATTCCACGATGTGAGAGCTTTTAACAATACCAAATCATCTAGAACTGGCCCTAACCCCAATCCAACCCTCGTCCCACGACTGCATGCAGCCTATAATTTACGCAACGTCGCCGGCCGCCGACAACAACGAGTAAATGGCAACGTGTTGCTGGCCGCTCACGGCGCGCAATATAGAAAACAGAGCATTGAAAACAACACAACGTGTCACCCATGTAACCAGACCAGCGGAAAACGTTACTTTAA